GGTTTCGGGTCGATCTTTTCAACAATATTTTTATTTGTAGACTGAACAACGACCGTAAAAATTTCAGCAACTTTGGCCTCCCTTTTCTTTGCTTTTTCCTCCTCTTTTACCTTCTCAAGATGTTCTTTCCTCCAAGAAATAAAACGATCCTGGCCCATGGGCACAAGGTCGTAGTTCTTACCCTTCTTAACAGTATATATGTGTGTTTGAGAATCGTAGGCAACATCGTGCTCTTTGTACCATGGCTTACCCAACGATAAGTGACATGAAACCATCAGTGTCGGAATCACGTCACACAAAACCGTGCAATAATATTTTCCCAAAAAAAACGGCACCTTGGTTTGATGTGTTACACTGAGCTCTTCATGACCCCAACGGAACAAGTATGGTTGTGGTCGTGGTGTCATCGGTAGTTCCAACTTCTCCACCATCTCGATGCTTGCCGCGTTTATCAAACTCATGTGGTCGATTGTCATAGAACATGATCTCTCTTGTACCACAACACGAGTATGAAAAAGTCCATTCCATCGGCCTTCCTCCTCCAACTGAAATCCATAGCTTAGCTTCCATGATAGACCAGTCATCTTCTGCACAGTGTCGTGAACAACCTTGCTCTGAATACCACCTGATGTAGACCGAACCTCGATGGCGAGATTCAATCTGTTGTTGCGGACCGATCTTTCACGACACACCACCACCAGCAGCAGCAACCTCTCGCCCGCGCACGCGATGTACACGAAATAGAGGGTTTGAACCTTGCGGCTCAACACGAGAAAACCAATCTCAACGATAGTACTCCCGCGCAAAACAATTTCCTCACCGAGAAATCGCAACACAGAGGTTTTTTAAAGCTTCCTCCAAAACTTAGGGATTTTTAGACAGCTTCCCCCAAAACTCAATACGGGTATTTACCCTAAAAACACATTGTGTTTATTATCAAAATATAGCCTCCCCCTTTACATTGCCGCACCATGGCTATTAACAGCCCACGTCTAGACTTGCAAAAATAAGGACACGACCCTATCTCTAACTCAAATAAAATATGGACTCTCCTAAAACGTAAAAGTATTTGACTTTTACATCTCAATAGATAGCTTTGTCTATTACTTCTAAAACTAACATACGGACTTAAACTTGATCCCTTTAAAAATAGGTGCACCATCTCCTCGTACGTGATCTGCTTGTACGGTGGACCCCATCCACATCCTGTCAAGCAAAGCACGTCTCTAATCTTGCATGGTCTGTTGATGGGATTGACAATCTTTTCTTTACGTGCAAGTGGCAAGAAATCTCTGCATCTTATATTTTTGATTGGACCAAATAAATCACAAATCCAAAGGTCCCTTGCATCAACGTAGGCTCCACACTCTTTCCAGAAATTAGTGAACTCCTTGCCAAACTGAGTCTGATCAGTTTTGGAAGCAAACTCCTTGCCTTGATTTAATACCCTTTCACCTTGCATGCAAATATGCACGTCTAGGGAATTCTCTTCCTTTAATCCATCGGCATGCGGCAATAATTCATGAACACTAGCATTAGTTGTGGCCATATCATCCTCTCTCCCTTGAAACGAAAACCGCCTCGGTTTCAGGTCGATCTTTTCAACAATATTTTTATTTGTAGACTGAACAACGACCGTAAAAATTTCAGCAACTTTGGCCTCCCTTTTCTTTGCTTTTTCCTGCTCTTTTATCTTCTCAAGATGTTCTTTCCTCCAAGAAATAAAACGATCCTGGCCCATGGGCACAAGGTCGTAGTTCTTACCCTTCTTAACGGTATATATGTGTGTTTGAGAATCGTAGGCAACATCGTGCTCTTTGTACCATGGCTTACCCAACAATAAGTGACATGAAACCATCAGTGTCGGAATCACGTCACACAAAACCGTGCAATAATATTTTCCCAAAAAAAAACGGCACCTTGGTTTGATGTGTTACAGTGAGCTCTTCATGACCCCAACGGAACGAGTATGGTTGTGGTCGTGGTGTCATCGGTAGTTCCAACTTCTCCACCATCTCGATGCTTGCCGCGTTTATCAAACTCATGTGGTCGATTGTCATAGAACATGATCTCTCTTGTACCACAACACGAGTATGAAAAAGTCCATCCCATCGGCCTTCCTCCTCCAACTGAAATCCATAGCTTAGCTTCCATGATAGACCAGTCATCTTCTGCATAGTGTCGTGAACAACCTTGCTCTGAATACCACCTGATGTAGACCGAACCTCGATGGCGAGATTCAATCTGTTGTTGCGGACCGATCTTTCACGACACACCACCACCAGCAGCAGCAACCTCTCGCCCGCGCACGCGATGTACACGAAATAGAGGGTTTGAACCTTGCGGCTCAACACGAGAAAACCAATCTCAACGACAGTACTCCCGCGCAAAACAATTTCCTCACCGAGAAATCGCAACACAGAGGTTTTTTAAAGCTTCCTCCAAAACTTAGAGATTTTTAGACAGCTTCCCCCAAAACTCGATACGGGTATTTACCCTAAAAACACATCGTGTTTATTATCAAAATATAGCCTCCCCCTTTACATTGCCGCACCATGGCTATTAACAGCCCACGTCTAGACTTGCAAAAATAAGGACACGACCCTATCTCTGACTCAAATAAAATATGGGCTCTCCTAAAACGTAAAGGTATTTGACTTTTACATCTCAATAGATAGCTTTGTCTATTACTTCTAAAACTAACATACGGACTTAAACTTGATTCCTTTAAAAATAGGTGCACCATCTCCTCGTACGTGATCTGCTTGTACGGTGGACCCCATCCACATCCTCTCAAGCAAAGCACGTCTCTAATCTTGCATGGTCTGTTGATGCGATTGACAATCTTTTCTTTACGTGCGAATGGCAAGAAATCTCTGCATCTTATATTTTTGATTGGACCAAATAAATCACAAATCCAAAGGTCCCTTGCATCAACGTAGGCTCCACACTCTTTCCAGAAATTAGTGAACTCCTTGCCAAACTGAGTCTGATCAGTTTTGGAAGCAAACTCCTTGCCTTGATTTAATACCCTTTCACCTTGCATGCAAATATGCACGTCTAGGGAATTCTCTTCCTTTAATCCATCGGCATGCGGCAATAATTCATGAACACCAGCATTAGTTGTTGCCATATCAAGCCGCGGTCACCACCGTCGCCGATCGAGGCCCTGCCCGACTCGCTTTCTTCCTTCTCGTAACAGTAATCCACGAATCCAGACGAATCATATCGAAAAGCGTTAGGTTTGGGAGACTTACCTTAGGCAGGGGGCCCTTCCATGGCCTGATCGCTGTCGCCGCCGTCCTTCGATGAACGACACGGCGGATCATCTCCTTCTTCTCTCCCACATGAAGTCTGATTCTGGCCGGATTGTCGGGGGGCAAGACGGCGTCGACCATCGTTGTCACTTCATCTTCGTCGTAGCCTGAATGGAAAAGCTCGCAGATGAGATCAGATGGGGTCGGCGACGATGGGGAGGCCGCCGCGCTCCCATCCCCATCCTCGGCCGCATCATCCTCATCGGAGTCCGCCAAAGCCCAAAACCAGCCGCTGACCCGCCTGCGATCCCCGACCAATGATGACGGCGCGGCCAAGGTTGCCCCTCTGGTCGCCCCCGCACCCGCCCTCATAAGCGCGTCTAGTTATGTGCCTATATAAGCATAACAAAATTCCTCAGAACGATACAAATATAGAAACATAAGCATTGAGAAATCATAACCGTAAAGTTGATGAAGACACATGATTTGTTTAACCAAGTCCAAGTTGTTAGCATCAACTCTACGTCTTGTTTGGAAAGGCTGAGCATATTGCTCCCGGCGCCGCGCTAGGGGGGTCTAGTCACCATCTTGTTATACTTGATCAGATTATCCGAGTACCTCAAAACTCGCCCAACAGCCGTGGTATATCTTGCGGTGATTCTCCAAACCTGTAGAAACTTGTTCTTCGGTGAATCCACGCGTTGGAGCTCACCGAACGACACCTAACCGTGTAGATGATGCCAATTTCTCAAGAGTAACAAGTTGGAATGCTAGGAACGAACATCTTCGTTGGTGATGCTGAATGACAACTCACTATTCTGCTCAGGTGGTTTTGCTCGCACAGGATTGCTCACGAATGCACAGGAAGAGGGATGAACGTTGTGGACTTGGCAGAAGAATGGTCACAGCCGTCGTAGAAATAGCCGTTGCAGATCAACTTACCTCCCACGAAAGAAAGTAAACAATCACATTTTGAACTAGTGGCGCGGACGACCGTTCTTTGAAGCGGCAATTCCAAAAATTTAGTTCTTTTTTACGGTGCAAGGGAGGAACTCTGCCGATTCATTAATTAAGATAGAAAAAACATACAGGGTGGCACAGTTGGTAAGGGAAACTAAGTCGAAGACTATAAAATATCCGGTAAAAACCGAGAGAAAACCAAAGAAGAAAAAGACAGAAAAAATTATTTCTCAAACTCCTCAATGAAGGTGCTAATTCTAGTGACATTGAAGAACTAAGCTTCAAAGTTCTCGGCCAACACGTAGGAGAAGGTGGCCGTGGGCGTCGACGGCTCCTCTTGCACGGCT